GAATGGCCTTTAAATGATTAGAAAACTGAGGCTAAAAGGAGAAGCTGTATTTTTTATTTTCTCTTAGTATTCATCAGTTTAGAGCTAACCTTACAAATATATTTTAGATGCTAAGATATATAGTAAATAAGTTGATCTGGAAGCTCAGAGGCCTTCATGGTATAAATTATTCATGCCATCATAGGTAGCACATATTTCTTGCATAATATGTATTTTTATCGTAGTTACAGCATTTTTACCTTTATGTTATACAAAAAAAGGAGAGGAATCTAATTGTTTCTTGTTTCCTCTCACTTTGTTGATTGTTGACTCTTGTAGGCCTTTTCAAGTAATGGATGGAAGAATGACTCTCAGTGTTTGCCAAGGAATAATTTAGTGAGTTTCCGGCATTTGGAGGAAAGAGAGACAACGTAGTTTAGTGGAGTAAGACAAACCCTTTACAAATTCCATCCTGCCCTTTCCATCAAGTCAGCAGAGATTCTCATTTTACTTATGTGTGTAAGCCATGCAGCATGGCAAATGGCGAAAGCTCCCTCAAGCCTGGTTTCCCGCCCTCTGTCCTTGAGCTTCTCGGGAAAAGGGAGGCAATGAGGTATAGGGTTATGGGTAATTCAGGTACTAAAACGTGTGGGTGTTTTTAGGAGTAGGATTGCTGTGGTATCCTAAGTTAAGATGCCTTTGTTCATCATCTAAGTTCTCTATTTCATATCTATTTTTTGTCAACATTAGTTTTGGGTTTCTATTGGCATTATCCTTATTAGTCAGTGACAACAGAGCAATGTGGTGACTACAGGAGTCTAGTCAGCTCTCCCAGCCACTCTGCCCAGGGATCCTCCATGGAGTTGTGGGTCCTGGCTTACGTGAACACAAAAGAAACCATAAAGACATTGTGTCCCTTGGCAGAATCAGTACCTGTCCCTGGACTAGAGAGGAAGCCTATGAGGAGAGCAGCATTCATAGTAGCCTATACTCAGATAATTTTAATGTAGGTTATTGTGGGTTTTTTTGCAGTAAAAATCCAAAAGTTGATGTAATATTCAAAGTATTTATATATGAATTCCCGGTTAATCATTTCAGCTTGTGTGCAGTCTCACTGCAATTCCTCATTCTTTTAAATCTTTCTGGCTTCCACCTATAGCCATTTAGAGTGCAGCAAATACTACTATGAGTTTGGTCTTCCCTCTCTTTGGTTTACATTTCAGTGACTTGAATATGTTTTTATATATGCTTGATGTTTGTGTTCCGCTAATGAGAATGGACAAATTCATCTCCTAAACCCTGGTGACTTCCTGTCGTAGAAGAGGTAGCCTCAGTAGAGAGCTGGTCCTGCCAGCTTAGGATCAACTGCCCTAAAACACAAGCCAGCACTTTTATCAACACTTCTCTCATATTGCAGGGAATTTTATAAATCATTATACAGAAGGTCAGTTCACTTGCTTTTCTAGGGATATATTTTTCAAGTAATTTGTTTATAAGGTTCACCTGGACATTATATTGTTTTATGCGGGTGATATTTATATTTTTTTCAAAAGCCTCAATGGTGTCTCCTAAAAATGTCCAGATTAAAGTCTTTGAATCAAATCTACATTGTGAAGAATTAATCATCCAGGAGTGTGTGTGTGTGTGTGTGTGTGTGTGTGTGTGTGTGTGTGTGTATGCACATACGCGCATGCCTGGGAAAAATTCTATGTTGGTTTCTGAGGAAAATAATGGCCAGGCTTACTTAGTTCACTTTTCAACAGAAGTGGAATTACTATCCATTGAGATATGGACTGAGGTACACTTAAAATTCCATTATACAATTTCTAAACATTTGTTGTGTTGTTTTCTAAGGCATGTGGATTTGACATTAGTAACATGAAATATCCATGGTCTAGGGCAGTGATGGCGAACCTATGACACGCGTGTCAGAGGTGACACACGAACTCATTTTTTTGGTTGATTTTTCTTTGTTAAGTAGCATTTAAATATATAAAATAAATATCAAAAATATAAGTCTTTGTTTTACTATGGTTGCAAATATCAAAAAATTTCTATATGTGACACGGCACCAGAGTTAAGTTAGGGTTTTGCAAAATGCTGACACGCCGAGCTCAAAAGGTTCGCCATCACTGAGAGAGTAGACCATACTGGATTTAGGCGGGCCCTGTATCCAATGATTGGCGTCATTGTAAGAGAGAACAGAAGGAGATTTGAGACAGAGAGGTGGAAAGACGAAGGTCATGTGAAGATGAGGAGGGGTTCTTCCCTCCAGCCTAGAGCTTTGGGAGGAGTGTGGTCCTGCTGACACCTTGATTTTGGAATTCTGGCTTCCAGAACTGTGAGAGAATGCATTTCCATTGTTCTGGGCCAGCCGGTGTGTGGTGATTCGCTCTGGCAGCCCTAGGAATCTAATGCAGTAGAGGAGGTAGGGAACCTGAAATTACTGCTGAAGCAGCAGAGGTTTGGATTCTAGGCCAATTATCTGGAGACTTCTCACCTGGAGGCATACGGCCATGATTTCCGGAAGTGGTGGCTGCTAATGCCTCAAAGGATGGGGAGGGATGCCCTGTGCCCGAGGAGACATCCATGCTGGGCTCCTGGGGTCTAGCCCGGCCCAGTGCCTCTGAGGGAAGACTCACCATGCTCCTCCCCAGTCACCCTGAGATGGCAGCTGTCCTCTGCCCTGGGCAGGGAGAAAACCTGGAAGAATGAGCCTTTCCCTCCTGGAGACTCTGCTGGGAAAGATGCTGTTTTATACTGGAAGGGGCGAAAAAGCCTTCAGTTGGTGAGTTCTTGCTTTCCCATGGTGTGGGGCTCATGAATAAGTTTAGATAATGTATAGAAAATAAAATAATAAAATAATGACCATTTGGGGGCACTATATTATATAAATGTATATGTATAATTTATATATCGTGATATAATAATGTGTATATAAGGCAATATATCTATATATCTATATCTATATCTATGTCTATACTTACATTGTGTGACTCCTTGCAGAATCATTTTTACTGATTTGTACTTTGTCTCTGCACCCTTGGCGTGTTCTAGGTGTGCTCCGAGACTCCACTGTATACTGATTTCCCTTGTCTATTTTATTGGTGACCATCATCTGTATTTATGAGGACTCTTGGGTCAATTCCATGAGCAGGGCCATGAATTCTTCTAAAACAATAATTTAAAAAAATACATAATTTTCTCCTATGTACATCATGGCTATCGTAGCTACTTCTTTCCTTTGGTCACTAGGATGCTCACAGTCAGATTTGCTCCCCACTGTTAGCACATGTGTGACTAAATATTTAGGGCTAATAACTTCAATCCTTGATATCTTTTAAGCTTTATCGTTTTATCCCTTTTTGCCTATGACTCTTGATTTATTTTTTCTAATACATCTATTGTGGCCGGTTGTTTCCGATCTCCTAACTCCGGGTAGAATTTTATTTATTATCTTTTGGAAAACTCCACCTGGATATGTTGTAGGCACATCAGATTTTTTTTAAAGGAAATAATTTAAAATATATATATATTTTTACTTTCTAGACTTCTGTAAATTAAATTATTTATTTTTTAATGTTTCTTTTTTTAAATTTTGTTTTATTGCTTAAAGTATTACAAAGAGTAGTACATTTGTCTCCTTTTTTTCCCCCCTTGACCTTCCCCGGCCTCCCCTAACCCCCAGTGTCTTGTGTCCATTGGTTATGCTTATATGCCTGCATACAAGTCCTTCGGTTGATCTCTTACCGCCCCCCCACAACCCTCCCCGGCCTTCCCGCTGTGGTTTGACAGTCTGTTGGATGCTGCTCTGCGTCTGTATCTATTTTTGTTCATCAGTTTATAATGGTCTTTATTATCCATAAATGAGTGAGATCATGTGGTATTTTTCCTTCATTGACTGGCTTATTTCACTTAGCATAATGCTCTCCAGTTCCATCCATGCTGTTGCAAATGGTAAGAGTTCCTTCTTTTTTACAGCAGCATAGTACATCAGACTTAATATTCTCTGAGGGAAATTCTTTGTATCTTCCCTTTCAAATTTGCCCCTTTTCCTGTTTCTCATCTTTGGTAAAGAGCCCCCATGGGTCCCGTCATCTGAGTTTGCACTCTTGCTATCGTTTTTAACCTTCTCTCTCATCCCATCCAAAGCCTTTTAATCCAGACTCAGCACCACCTTGCTCATTTCTCCTACTTCATCAATACCTGCCTCAACTAGTTCATGAGCTCCCTAACTGGCCTCAAGTTCTCTGCCCTCATCCTCTAGTGATTTGTTAGGCACAGTGATGTCAGTTATTTAAAAGTCACTCGCTCCCTATAATTTTTATTCTGTACACAGAATGAAGCCAGGCCCCTCCCATAACAGTCAAGGCTCTATATGAGTTGCTGCCCAGCCTTTGTTCTCAACCTCATCTCCGTCCTTTCCTCCCTCCCCTTCTGTGTCTTTCACAGCAGCCACCAGACCATTGGCCAGTCCCCAAACACAAAACACATCTCACACCTGGTTCTCTGGGCCTGAAATGCCCTTCCTGGCACCTGTAAGCCCTTATGTTTCCCTAAGGCTCTTTTCAAATATTCCCCCTTTTTTTTCTGATTACAGAAGAAGCCATTGCTTCTTCCTCAATCTTTCCATCTCACTTTCTTAACACTACTGCTAGAGCAGTCCTCACCCAGTTTTATATTTTGTTGTGTATGTGTATCATTCTCCTCAAATCGTGAGCTCCTCAAGGAGTTTCACTAAATAGGAGGTGGGAATATACCATGTATCTGCCAACGGTCCTTTTAAAAATCAAAGTAAACTGAATGAGGGACTGTGGAGTTTCTAGGATTGATAATGTCTTCATTAGGTATGGATTGAAAACGTGGCTAATTAACTGCTGACCATACAATGTGTCCTCTCTTTATGGTAATTGGAAATTTGTAATGCCATCATGATGAAAATTCTAGCAGTCAACGTGAGTTTTTAGAATTTCTGTACAGAAGAAACTTACCTGATTTTCTTTTTTTTTCTTATAGGAATAGGCAAGTCGAGAGGCTGAAAATCTGAAGAATGTTTCCAAAGGGTAATGTGGCTGTCATTTGCTGGGTATGGAGGAACATGAGGAAGCTATTTCTATTCCTTTCTCTCTGGCTGTCCCAGGCAGCTCATTTGGAAGGCAGAAAGGATAATCAGTTCATCTGGAAACCAGGTAGGAATGTCCTGGCTGTTCCTTTGTCCCATTTTCATTAATGAGAAGAATATTCTTTCTCTCCTTGTTCTTATTGGTGGAGTAGTGGTGGAGTAGCCAGAGAGGAAAACTAGATTCTTCTTCATTATAATAAAACTTACATTTGCTTTTTATTCCCGCATAATTGTCACCTCCATCCTTGATGCTTGCTATCCTTCTGAATTTTCACGTTGCTGTCAACTAAAGATATGATTTCCTTAGTTACATCTGCTTCTCCTTTGTCAGATATTTCACCACTGTGCAGCACACGTGTAGCCAAAGTGACACCTGAATTTAGCTGGTATCCTCGGCTTAAAATGTCTTGAACCAGATCCGTGTGTCTCTTTCTTTTAGGGTACAAACTAGTTAGCTATTTATTATTGACTACTTTCTAATAAACCTGCATTTCTAGGTTTGGGAGCATGAAAAATTTCCCTAACCATTTGGCTTATTAGTTGTGACTATTAAGTCACCTTAATGTGTTCTCTACAAAACCAAATGAATAAGCTGAATTGCGTTCGGAGGCTTTCATATAACTTATGTTCTTCTCTAACTATTTCCTTAATTTGGCTGTAGGAAGGATCTGTTGAATTTAATTTTAAAGGCTGATAATTTATTAACTTGTGTTATGAACCCCAGACATCTTAGTGCTTTGTATCACTGATGTTTTTCTTTGCCCTAGATTTTAATTTTCTTAAAGTTCCATAATCAGATCATATAAAATATGTATTACTGTTTCAAGAGTCCATTCTTGTGAATACAGATAACTTATATACTTAATAACTTGGAATGGGAAATGTGATGTTGTAGAAGATGTATGGTCCTCAAAGAGTTTTCATTTTAGTCTCATCATCTGTAAATTAAATAGACTGCAAATGTATCATGTCAGCATGAAAATATGTATAAAAGATAAATTTATAATATTTAAATGACTTTGCAAAAATGAAGTAAATTATGCTTTCAAGTATATTAAGTAAAAACCCCAGCACCATTAGAGATACAGTCTGGAGGAAAATTTAATTGCATTAAAGTCACTATAAATTAATTTAATTGTGGGCTCTAATATCACATTAGTGATTTTCATTTTTTACCATGGTAGTCTTAGGAAGCTTTGGAAATAGTTCTAAAAGTCAATATTGTTTTTTCTATGAATCAGGCTATTTTGTTTTAATTACAAAAGACTAAATATTTTATCAAAAAAATCTTTAAATCTTTATTGGTGAAAGTATTACATATGTCCCCTTCTTTTCCCCATTGACCCTTTCTAGCCTGCCCCTGTCCCCCACCCCATTAAGCACATTTATATGACTATACTCCTCTCTAAAGTTCTCAAAAAAGTGCAGTTAAAATGGAAAGTAGCCAATCTGAAATATGAAGGTGTGAACCATGAAGAAAAAGAAAAGATACCCACTAAGAAGGGCCCCTGGTGGCCAACTGTGCTCAAAATTAAAAAACAAAAACAAAAACAAAAACAAAAAAAAAACAGCCTAGTGGCCATTTTTGCACAGAGGCCTCTCCTGCAAACTGCACTTCATGAAGTCAGCACTCAACTGCCTACCTGCACGTTGCTTTTGCCATCTGAGCCAGGCCTTCTAAAGGAGTTCCTGCTCCTATTTCAACCAACAGGACTGAGGCTCTCCCCATTCAATCAAAGTTGTGCAGCTCTGGCCAATCAGAGAGGCTCTATTCTGACCAGTCAGGACAGAGCCTTTTGGACTAATCAAACTTCAAGTATTTAGAGTCCTTATTTGCATGAGAATGGGTCAGTCGGGGCTGTCCACATAAGCCAGCTCCCCTCTGGCTTAGGGAGTACCCTTCCCCTTTACACCAGAGGATAAAGTCTTCTGCGTCTCCTTGGCTGAGCTGAAACAAGGAAAGATGTCTCACGAGAGCAGCTCAAAGCAGAGTAGCCAACCAGACCACTGAGGAGCAGAGCTGCTGTCTAGTCAGTGCAGGGCCCGGCTCAGGGCCGCCTGGCACTGAGCTGTTCTACAGCCATGCCACAGCACAACCCAGCTGATGTGCACTGAATAGTTTCCTTCTCCACCGCACCCCAAGTTGGGGTTCCTGTTGGGGTTGAATTGGTGCCAATGAGCACCTGTTGATAAAGGAGGTGTTTTAAGAACATGGGCTCATTTTGAACAAAATTTTAAAAGTAAGTCTGCTTTTCTAAAAGTATTCAATGGAACAGGATGGTACAAATCCACTCTACAATGGATGAATACTTTGTTAACGGTCAAAGTATTTGATTTTACTTTTGCATTGCATATTTATTACTTGTAGTTGACCAGATATTTTTAAAGTAGAAAAAATTTAAAAGATACAAAATTAAAAACGAAAGTTCATACTTGTGTATATAAATCACAAAAAGCACACATACAAAAGTTACTATTATCATTAATTAGGGTTCTGCCGAGAAAATAAATGGCATGTGAAAAGTAAGTAATTAAGAAGAGTTTAATAAAAGGATTATTTGCTCAAGTGGGAAAGTGTGAGCAGGGTTAAAGAACAGCTACAAGGAATTGTGGAGTGCTCCCTGGGCTAGTACTGTATTAACCTTGATGATTTCCGGGTCTGGAGGGGCAAAGAAAGAAAGTGGTTTCTAGAGTCTGGGGAGAAAACTTTATGGAGAGAATGCCAGACAAATGCTGTGGCCTTTAGAGGGATCTAATCAACTTGCAGTAGAAGTAGGAAGGGGAATGAACAAACCTTGTCCTTACATCTTCTACCAGGGCTCTCATTGGCTGAACCCAACCAGAAGCCACAAGGCAAAGGAGTCCATTGATGTGGCCACAAAGACAGCCTCCTGGGCAGGGAGCATGGTGAAGGACGATGGGGAATGTTCATATGAAAATACTAAATTCATACATGTGCATATGTGCATACACACACTTTACTTTATGCAATCAGTCATGCTTTGCGTCTATTTTTGTAGTTTTCTTTTTATCATAGAATGATGTGTTGATGAGCATTACTTTTCAGTTCAAATGGATCAATTTCATCTTCTAATGGTTACATAGTATTCTTCTATATTTTTATTCCATAATTTATTTAACCAGCACCCCATTGCTTTATATTTTTTACTCTATTGCTTGGAATTTCAGGATTTTTTAGTGTTTTGCTATTATACATAATACTGACATAAGTGCAACATTATTTTAAAGATAAACAATAAATCAATTTGAGGAGCCATAAGTCCTAGAGCAATTCTGGGTAATCACCTTCAAAGACAACCCAAACATCTTAGATTCTATTCTCTGCTTATGACTAAGTTTATTGTATTTTATTTGGATTTTAAAAAACCTGTACTGCACTGAAATTTACTGAATTCTTTGGAGTGTGTTATCAAATCCAGCCATTCAAGTCCAATGTAATCTGGAGTTGAACAGATTTCCATGGAGACCCAGTTAAATATACTTTGTTTCAGAAACCTAGAAACCATTCTTTGGTTCAGATTGTAGTGTCAACCACTAAAGCTCTTTGCTGGTGTCTGTTGTTTTCCCCCCTGAGTCCATAGATGTTAGTCAACCTCATCCAATTTAGAGGCACATCTAAGTGAGTCCTGGCTTTGGATAAACAATGGATTGATGGATCCTAAGAGGATGATATATATGTTGCTGAGGATTTCTGTTCTCAGGGAGAGACAAGAGCTGTAGGCTGCAGGATCACTGATCTGGCAAGGATGTTGGATGCCTGTCATCATTGTGATGCCATCCTCTGATCTATATTTAGTGTCAGGCAATCTGTCTTGCGTGCCAAGAAAGAAGGATCACGTCAGCAAGACCATCAGATAAGGAGTGATGGTGGTGGTTTTAAGTAAATGTAACTATTCATGTCTGCACACGTTTTAGAGATGAACAGGTCATGTTTCTGAAGTCACAATAACTAATGGTCTCCTTAAAAAAGACCTCGGTGTTGGAGGGTTCATTCCACTAATACTTGACAAGTCCTTATGATGTGCCAGGTACTGTTACAAGCACATGAGTTAAATGCAGAATAAAATAGACAAATCCTCAGTCTTCATAAACAGGGTGAAAAACACAATCAAGAAGTTAATTGTTAGGTGGTGTTAAGTGCTTAGAAAGAAAGATAAGGCAAGGAGGAGAGACACACCGTGACAGGTGAGAGATGGAAATTAGAAGCAGGTGGGTTATAGGGTGACTCACTGAGGAAGTGGATTTGGGTAGAGACTTGAAGGTAGTGAGGAGCCAGTCATGGAGATAGCAGGTGAAGAATATTCCAGATAGAAGGAACTGAGTCAGAAGGCCTTTGAGGCAGGAGCATGTGTGGCATGTTGAGGACCAGAGAGGGGCCAGCATGTGGAGCAGAGTGAACGTGGGGATTGTGACTGTACAATTGATCAGAGAAGAATGGGGCCTGAATCAGGTATGTCCTCATAGGTCAATAGGCAATAGTGACAATAGTGGCCCATGGGGGAGGATGGGAGTGCAAAGTGATGGGGGTCAATGGAGAAAAAAGGGGACATCTGTAATACTTTCAACAATAAAGATAAAATTTTTAAAATATACTTTTGGCATTTGCTCTGCATGAGATAGAAAAGCACTGGAGAGTTTTGAGAGAATGGTGACATGATCCAACTTTCTTTTCAGTAAGATTTTAATAGAATCATTGTGGGCAGTCTGAATAGTAGAAGGGGGAGACCAATTAGGAGGCAACACAGAAATAAAGAGGAGAGGTTATAACCTGCACCAAGGTCAAGGCAGTGAAGATGGTGGAAAGGTATTGGATTTTGGAGATATTTAAGGCCTTGCTTTTCAACCAGGGGTAATTTTTTCCTGTAGGGGGCACTTGGCAATATTTGGAGATCTTTCTTTTTTTTTTTTTTTTTTTTTTTTTGTTTGTCAAATCTTTTTTTTTTTTTTTAATCACATGGATTTTTTTTTTTTTAAAAAGAGTATTACATGTTTCGGGGTCCCTCCCCCCGCCCTTGTTTGGAGATCTTTCTTATTGTGCTACTGACA